AAGGAAAGAGACAGGGGGAGAGAGAGTGACACCGAGAGAGGAGGGTAAGGAAAGAGTCAGGGGGAGAGAGAGTGACACCGAGAGTGGAAGGTAAGGAAAGAGATGGGGGAGAGAGTAACACAGAGAGAGGAGGGTAAGGAAAGAGACAGGGGGAGAGAGAATGACACAGAGAGGAGGGAGAAAGAGACAGAGGGGGAGAGAGAGACTGGGAAAGAGAGGGGAGAAATGGACACAGAGGAGCAGTGAAGGGGAGAAAGAAACATACAGAAGGGCTGGGGGAGACAAAAGGCACACGGAGGGGCTGTATACATCACTGGTGGATCCCCCCCGGCCGATCTCTCTCCCCGGTCTACAGGCACCGTGCAGGCAGCCGGCAGGGGAAGGAGGAAGAGAGGACCCAGGAGCTCAGCCTGCAGCTCCTCTGGTTCCTTTTCACACGAGCACAGAGCGTTGCCGCGATTACCACGGCAACGCTTCGGCTCTTGCGAGAGTGACCTCTAGCCGAGCTACGGGCTAAAGTTCACTCTCAACAGTGCAGTAGTGAGAGTGAACTCTAGCGCAATACACACACTGCCCCCCCACACACACACACCCTACACATTCACACACTGCCCCTACACACACACACACACACACACACACACTGCCCACCCATACACACACAGAACCCCATACACAGCCCCCCATACTTACATTGCCACACACATACACAGCCCCCCATACACACATTGCCCCAGACACCCTACACATTCACACACTACACCCCCCCCACACACACACACTGCACCCCTCACACATTGCACCACTGCTCCTATACCCTACTACAGCCCCATATCCCAGCAGACCCCAAGTACGTTTTCAAACTGTTTTTAAACGGTTTGACTACTTACTCTGGGAGGGGATCCTGGCCCTCCTGGCACCATATCCACTAAACAGAGCAGCAGTGGTTATTGTGCATGGATTATTTCTTTAAATAATCTACAAGTGCCCCAGTAGCCAGCCAGCCCACAGGCCGGCCAGCCAGCCAACCCACAGGCTGGCCAGTAGCCAGCCAGTTAGCCAGCCCACAGGCCAGTAGCCAGCCCACAGGCCTACAGCAAGCCACAGGCTTACAGCCAGCAAGCCATAGCCTGCCAGCCGCAGCCTGCCAGCCGCAGTCAGCAAGCCCACAGCCTGCCGGCAGTAGCCAGCAAGCCCACAGACTGCCAGCCGCAGTCAGCAAGCCCACAGCCTGCCGGCAGTAGCCAGCAAGCCCACAGCCTGCCAGCCGCAGCCAGCAAGCCCACAGCCTGCCAGCCGCAGCCAGCAAGCCCACAGCCTGCCAGCCGCAGCCAGCAAGCCCACAGCCCGCCGGCAGTAGCCAGCAAGCCCATAGCTCCCGGCAGTAGCCAGCAAGCCCACAGCCCGCCGACAGTAGCCAGCAAGCCCACAGCCTGCCAGGAAGCCACAGCTTGCCAGCCGCAGCCAGCAAGCCCACAGACTGCCAGCCAGCAACAGCAATTAAGGTAAGAGGAGCCAACTTGGCCTAGGTATCAGCGAGCTATGTTGTGTTGCTATATTGTGAATAGGAACCAGAGTGTTGGAGAGACCATCCTCCAGGCCCCATTGTAGTCTCTGATGGAGCCTGGAGGAGATTCTTTCTAACACACTCTCTAAAGGACACTGAGATGGCCTCTGCTAGAAATCCCCTCCATGGCCCATTAGCCCTCAATTGTAGTCTCTACTGGGGCCTGGAGGTGACTGTTCCCAGCAGAGGCTATCTAATGGACGCTGAGAGGGCCTCTGCTAGAAACACCCCCTTCCAAGCCTATTAGTCTCCATTGTAGTCTCTAATGGGGCCTGGAGGGGATTCTTTCTAACACACTCTATAAAGGACACTGAGATAGCCTCTGCTAGAAAGACCCCCCTCCATGGCCCATTAGCCCTCAATTGTAGTCTCTACTGGGGCCTCGAGGGGATTATTGCACTTTTGTTCTTTTTGTCTAAAGATTGTGCACGGTGTGGCTGGAGACGGAACAAGGGTGGGGCTTGCTGCGGAGCATGGGTGGGGCCTGTAAGGGGGCCCTTGATTTATTTTGCCCGGGGGCCCTGAGGGTTCTCAGTCCGCTCCTGGTTCTATACACCAAAACTGCATCATTAAGCTAAAGTTGTTTTGGTGACTATAGTGTCCCTTTAATGATCTCATGACCAGCCCAAGGTTTCTCATTGAGAAGCATTGGAATGCATGGTTAATGCCTCACAATTTGTGCTCTTCATGGAGAAGCAAGTGCTTCTCTATGTGAAGCACTGTCTTCATGTTTGTGCTAAGGATAAAACTATCAGGAACTTTGCCTGACTCTTGTAATCAGCACTTTTATAAAGTGAGAAAAAGGGGACATACTGTTAACCCCAAATCAATTTAGCAAGCTGAAAATCTCCTTTTGTAATTAAATTTATTTATTAGAAAGTATCATGCATGTTCAAATTACATGGTGTTTTCTGTCTGCTCGAGTGCATCCTGCTAATGTACATTTAGGGCTGGGGATACAATTGCATTCAAATTAAAAATCTTTCTTTTTTTAATGTAAGTCTTCTTAAATTAACACTCCAAACACCTGAAGCTTTTTAGCTTCCTCTGTGAGGAGTGTGTCCTCTTTTCTATTTATTTATTTTTTTGCAAAAAGTGCAGATTTCAATACAAATTAGCACATTTGTTAATGAACCTTGTCACACCCCCTTGGTTGTCAATCAGGCAACTGGTCCTGTTACTTGCTGGTTTGATTAGCTCAGTGGAGCACCTGCCTTGCAAATACTTCTCATTTAGCTGCACTGGGAAGTCTAGGATTGTATAGTCACAGAAGGTCTGGGCTGGAGAAAAAGTAAGAGGTTTGCGAAGACTGCGTATAGCAAATCTTTTTAGATATATCTAATATATAATGAAATAAAATGCTTTTTTTCCATTGTGGGGAAATGTCTACTAAATTGATTAAAGATTAAATGTAGTGTTCTTTTAAATATAATCTATACTGACCAGCCCAAGGTTTCTCTATATCACGAATAGGGGCATGTCTAGTAAACAGTGAGTAGCCTGTGGTTGCTCACTGTTGTAAAAAAATAAATAAAAAATAATATATATATATATATATATATTATATATATATATATATATATAAATATATATATATTGGAAGGCAGGGCCTGAAGTTGTGGGAGGGGCTATGACCCTTTAAAAGGGACTCCCCCTCCTACCTAACTTACCTGCTGGTCCAGTCGTACTTTTGGCAGCTCTCAGGACAGTTGCAGCTCTCAGCCTCCTGCAGACGGCTCGCCAGTGGCTCCTTCCGCCCGCTGCAGTGATTCCCTGCCCGATCAGTGAGTGAGCAGAATGGTATCATTGTACCATTCTGCAGGCCTAATATAGCCCGACCCGCCGAGGTCCAAGGCTACTGTTTACACACAGGGGGACAGCAGACCCCCCACGGACCCAGGTCATGGGGGTCCGCGGTTTTCCACTTGGGGGCTCTGTACTTTGCAGCAGCATACCCCCCTACACTAGAGCAAGGGGGCTTTAAACACAGATTTGCGGACTCCCCCCTCCCCTTACAGTAAGGGCACAGAGGCCCATTACACTGGGCCCCCTACCCTAATAGGAGGGACACACAGGGCCTTCACGCCGGCTTTTCCGGCTCCCAAACCCCCTCCCCCTAATATTAGGGACCAGAAGACCGTCACGCCGGCATCACTGGCTCCCAACCCCCTTCCCTAACAGTAGGGACACGGAGGTCCTTCCAAGCCACACCCCCTTTCTCATAGGGGCACGGAGGTTCACACACACGATCCGCCCCCCCCCCTATCAATTGTGGACACGGAGGCATGGCACAAACGGCCCTACAGGCTCTTAATCCCCCTCACCCCCCCCCTCCCAACCCCGTCCGAAGTATACTCTCTCTCGGCAGCTCCCTCCACAGGCGCAGGTTTGCTGTCGGCCGGAAAGCACGATAAAGTACAGCACTGCAACCGCAAAGCAGGCTGTACACTCAAACGTCAGTCAAACACACATCACTCACAGGCATTCAAAGTTGGAAAATAAATAAATAAATATGTAGCTGTTATATAAAAAAAGAATAATAAATATGTGGCTGGTTATAGAATAGGTATAATAAATATGTGGCTTGTTTATTAAACAGGAATTATAATATGTGACTGGTTATAAATAATAATAATAATAATAATAATAATATGTGGCTGGTTTTATATAAGGTATACAGGTATTATACAGGTACTATATACATATAGTTCAGGATGGTGCACAGCACTACGCCACCTGGTGGCCATGCTGCATTTCATACCCCTGCATATTTAAATATCAATTGTAGCCTTTATAATTTGTTTGTAATTGGTATGGGCATTGGGTATCATGCACTAGTTCTCAAGTCTTACATGGGGAACATGCAACAGTATATGTAAAAACTCGGTATTTGTCATTTTATCTCTGGATCTGCTTACAGGATTCAGAGACCTA